TTTTGTAATAGTCATTGGTCGCTGGTCGTCGTGGGCGCAAAAAAAAAAAAAAAAATACAAAAATTGTGCTGCGTTGTGTTCTTCGAAATTAGCTTAAAGCTTTTAGTGATATTTATAATAGAAGAGCAGCAACAACAAGTAGAAATAAGTTGTGAAAAGTGAGTGATGATAGTTAGATCTTTAAAGAGAGTAGAAAATAGAAGAAAAGAAAAACGAAAAAACTAACGAACTGGCCGTTTTTACTCGTTGTTTGTGTAGTTTCTATTATTATTATTTTTTTTTTGCAAATTGACTTCAAATTCTTTTTCCCTTTTTGCCCTCACCCATGCAAATCGTCACGCATGTTTGTGTGTATATGTGTGAGAGTATGAATATGCCCGGTTGAAAAAGGGACGGACTCGGACTCAGGCAAAAATGGCTACACATGTTTTACCGTTATGACGTATACGACATGCCGGCGTTGTGTGTCTAACGGTTTTTTTTTTGCTCTATTCGAACGTCTCATTTTGCAATTCGCTTCTTAGTTTAGTATTGCATCGCTAGACGTCGGCTATTATTGATGAACGCGCTTATATCAAGCAGTGAATGATATTAAATCAATTAAAGTGATATACAGAAAGTATTCTTTGACTAGTTGCACCCAGCCCAAAAGAAACACCGCCAACAACGACAGTCAAGTAAACTGACCTACTTTGTTCGACTCTGACTTGTGTAGTCATTAATCGGAGTCTGTGCTCTGCTCTGGCTCTCTCAGTTTTATGAGAGTAGAGGCAAATTGAGCATGAACATTGTTGATCTGCCTGCAGTTTTGTTTTTATTTTTGCAGTGCAATTCAGCTCTCTTATACTTCGGCCGCATTCGGCTGACCCGAATTTATAGCACTGCACAATGGCATTCTTCGCTCGTGCGTCCATGCTCCAAGTTGTTTGAAGAAGGGCGAGCGGCAACAGTATTCATTGCTCTACATACTACCCGCTAATTAGTTAGACATGCCTCACATATGCATACTTTTGTGTGAATGTGTGTAAATCAGTGCGTCTACCAATTGAAAGAAGTTTAAATATCGCTGCAATCATAATTTAAATATTCACATTTATCGATAGGCATACAATATCGATAATTTAGCACGTGCACATGCAAATTGTGAGCATGCGCCATTCGCTCAATATTGCGATATATTTGATTTTGTTTCGCCTTCTCTTAACTTTTTGTGAGTCAGCGTTTACATTGGACTCATGTTGCTGTGCAGTCCATTTCTATTGCCCCTCCTTCCCTCCTGTTGATGTGTCCACAAATTGAAAGCACAAGACAACGAATCAAAGCCCATACGCGTGACTACAAAAAAAGTGAAGCAAGCTGGCAAGAAGCAGCAGCAGTGCTAAAAGATGAACAACTATAACAACAACGAGAACGAAAACCGACACAAAATAAAATCATAATCATATCAGTAGCACAAATTCTGCGTGTGATTAACGAAGTGAGCGAAACTGAGGCTACCGAAGTGTTCGTAGTGAGCGAGATTGAAGCTACCGAAGCGTTCTCTCTTGTTCACACACACACAACACATTCATTTGTAGCCGCGTAGGCATGCGAGAGATTATGTATATATGTGTGTGTGTCGTGTTTAACGCACGAAGTGTACGAGCTCCTCAGTGGCTGTGCGACTAGCGTTGGCGTCATGATCGCGACGTTTTCAATTGTATTTGTAATTCCACTTAACGCGCTCGCGTTCTCTTCGGTCTCTTATACCTGTATATGCGTATATATGCGTGCGCGTGTGTGTGCATTTGCGTTGCCTTTTCTCCCAGCTTTGTAATGCATCTCTTTTAGTTAGTTGAGTTGATTTTTCTATGAAGTAAAGAAAAGGCAAAACAAACAGAGAAAAAGAACGACAAATAAAAAAAGTGAGAGCAAAAGCTGTGTGTGTATATGTATGTGTAGAAGTAATATACACACATACATACATAGATTTCCATACGCACAAACAAGCAGAAAATTACAAACACGAAATTGCAGCAAAAGCAGAACCAGAAACCGATACTGAAACTGAAACAAGAAAAAAACTGAAAATGCACAGCAACAACAGCGGCGGCGGCGGCGGTAATTACCCCAACAACAACCACACCGGCAGCAGCTATAACAACAGAATCAATATCAACAGTAATCATTATTATAATCATCAACAACAAAATACAAAATTATTACGTGTTTATGATCGGTGAGTGTTTTTGAATAGTGTCTCTCTCTTCTTCTGTCTTTGTCTATCTCACTCGCTCAATGCTCATTATTGAGCGGAAATGTGTGTTTTCAGTGTTGGCAAATAGCTAAGTTTTGCTACCAACAGTAGATCAGTCATATTAGGTGTTGCCAACTTATTGAAAATCAAATTGCAGGGGGGAACAAATTTGATTTGATTTGATTTAACTCTTTTTTTTTCACTCGTAACTCTGCACTCATTCACAACATATTTGTGTTTGTATTTGTGTCACATTGCTCATTAAGTAAATATACCAGATTAAAATAAATGAAGCAATTAAACTCCCTCGTATACCCTTACATTGAGTACATACGAATTGCCTAGTGAGATTCGTATATATTTATGAATATGTAAATATTTTTCTACATTTTCGAATTGCTTATGTAGTTAATGAAACTAAAGTTGTTTAGGTTATAACTATTTTATCATATGGATGATACATATGTATATCTAATTAAATTGTTTGTAATGATATAAAGATAATGATATAAAGAGTATTGTTGGGCGCTGTTCTTTTCTCACTATAATTTGTGACATTACTGCTATGGCTTGCCGCATGCCCCACTAATGAGTGCTGCAATTGGTAAATGACCCATTTCTATTTAACTTAAGAACTGTCAAAGCACTAGAAAAAAAATACGTTAATAGCAGAGAAGCACAGTGGGAAAAGCAATTGCAACAAGGGCTAAGCAAATGCAAGGGATATACATATACAAGCATACATACATATATATTTGTTGTGTGCGGCTTTTGCCGGGCAATTTGGGTCAAAACGGCAACAATAACAAAAATGCAACGACAGCCTGAAACAAGTTTCGAGTATATACTGTAATATAGTTACAAATACATATGCACTTGTATACATATGTGTGTGTATAGCCATATGTTGACAAAGACTAGCGTCAGCTAGCCACAGCTGCAGTGGGAGGGGGGCAATAGATAAGTAACGCAAAAAAGAAAAAAAGAAAATAGAATAAAATCGAAAACAGCGAAAGAGAATGAAGCTGCTGCAGCTCTTTGTAGTGTGCATTAGCAACAGTAAAAACTAACGGTAGCTGACGCTGCAAGAGTGACGCGAAAGCAACTGGTGGAGGAGTGCACTGGTACTGGCTAAAGGCAAAGCACCAGACACATAAATATATACATAGATATGTATGATATATATGGCAATATGTGCACGCAAGTATGCGTCATGCAGTGCAGCGATCTATGCTTGTATAAATGTAAATAGGTCTTGATATGCCTATGGATGTATGTGTGTTTTGATGTAAATAAATATGCAGGCGAATGCAAATGCGCAAAGAAAAACACAAACAGCAAAGCAAAGCACAGCACAGTACAGCAAGCGCAGCTGTAGAAGGCGGCGATGCAACAGATTTCAGACATTTTCATTCATAAAATTAATAAAAACAGCAAAAACAAACAACGAAACGTGCTCACTCACACACATGAACTCACAGATGCATACATGTCTGTATGTATGTATATATTTATATATATAGAGAGAGAGCATGTACGCACCTTGTTCAAAGTAACTCAAAACTGAATGATGCAACACATGTGTGTATAAGAGTGCGTGTGTGTGAGCAACACCTATATATGTATGCTAAATATAATAAGACGCATTCACACCCATGCACATGCACACACACACATACATACATGTGTGCATTTAATGCCAAAATAAACAACACAGAATGCAGTCGAAGTGTGAGCGTTGACGTCAGCTGCGCAGCCAGCGTACCGTACGCGTGCGTGTATGTGTGTATGTGTAAGAATGCTTAAGTGTGTGTGTACATGCGGACGTGTAGCATATTGATTGCGAGGCGCAAAGGCAGAGGGCCGCGTGCATTGATAACAAAAGTACAAGCGCGCGTCTGCGTTCAGGTGTGTGTGTGTGAGTAGTATTTTGCGCGTGTGTGTGAGCTTTTGTGAGCGAGTGCGAAGCAGCAGAGGTCATTGCTTAGTAGAGGCGCCAGCACGAGCGTCAGTCAGTCACATGTCAAATACAATTATAAAAAGAGATTACTCTCGCATTGCACCGACTGTACAATACTCTATCTTTATCAATTGAAATGCATACAAATAAATGTTCATGTTAGCAGTAGTCGGCATTTACTGCTAACTTTATGATTGGTATAAGAATGTTTCACATGTGGTTTTTATATTTACTTAACAGCCACACAAACGTGCTACAAAACTAATATGCCGCTCAGCCCATTCGGCAGAGAGCGTATAACTACATTAGCAATTTGCCCTCTCTTTAGTGACAGACATTATGGTGAGAGTGGGAGAGGGAGAGGGAGAGGAGAGCAAAAGAGGGAGTAGGTGCAAAGTCCTCTATTGTTGCTTAAGCACGAGGCGACGTCAACGAACTGCAGCAGTGCTGACATTTACATATTTTTGAGGCTGTGCCAGCCATATGGGCGTGGTGGGCGTAATGTGGGCTTACCTCTTCTCTTCGAACTTAAATACTAAAATAACCCGCGCATGTCTGTGACATGTGACGCATGCGCAGTTCTGCTCAAACTGTGCGCAACAGTTGAACAGTTTGAGAGGAAGCGGCATAAAAAATGCAAGACAAGCCAAAAGCGCAAAACTCTCAACTCCGAGCAAGAGTCGAAAAGGAAATAAAAAGCGGCGGCGGCAGCAAATTATTCGCTGTCGTTTCGACTTCAATTCCTGGAAAAACAAGCAGTGAAAAAGTAGAAAAAAAATAAGCTTCAGCACACACAGAGATATACTTCTGCATATACATATTCAAAAAAAAAAAAAAAAAAAAAAAAAAAAAAAACAGCAATAGAAAGAGCAGGAATGAATACAAGCTAA